TAATGTCCTCTAAAAAACACATATTTAAAGTTATCTCTGTTTCTTTTTACCATACGCATTCATCTATTGTATTTTAATGAATGAAATTTGTCTCTTTCTATCCGTCGGTACTGTTCTAACGCATGGCGGCGTTCGGTATGTTTCTTCTAACGCATGACGCAATATGACGCAATTATCCGACTAATACTTCGCACCCTTACAATGAAAGCGACCCAAATCAAAAAATTAAAAAATGAGTTTATACCGTAAAACCATCTTAAAAAAATATTTTGTTACATTAGTCACACTGTGGTGAAGATGAAATTGTGCAATTAAAGCTCGAATAGCACTGATTCATAAAGGTCCCTTTCATTTTGTTCTTTCAGTTTAAAAATTCTACTCCCGCGTCGAAATATTAACGCCGCATTTATTGTTGAATCTGCATTTGCAAAGACAACACGCTGCCACTGACGGATTAGCATTTGAGCCATTTTCGTTCCGAAAATCATATTCAAAAATCACTAGTAGCAGTAGAGCTCCTTGTGAGTTCGTCCAGGGTAGTACTGCCACATTACCGTGTTACAGTTTTGAAGGGTAAGGGTGCTGGTGAAATTACAGGCACATGGGACTTGTCAACTATGTCTCAGAGAGATGGACGCCGTAGCAGTAGCCTTCGAGCGGCAGTGCTACTGTTATGGACAGGCGTGACGCTTTCCACCGGGTACACGACTTGTTCGACCCGTCGCTTAATATTTAAAAAAAAAAATTTTTTAGTAACTTACTTTTTAAAGGGACTTACTTTTTTGTTTCGTGGACTTTCTTCTTTTTTAATTGTGAAACAGGGACCACAAAACAATATCAAGGGTTATGACATCTTGCTTAGCTGATGAACATTAAAAAGACTTAATTCTTAATACGTTAAATGATAACAAAAAATCATTAAAAAAAAGACCTATTGGCGACTAGTTTTTGTAAATTATGTTTTTAAATTGTTGAACATTAAAATGATCAGAAACAATTTTCAGTTGTAAAGTTCCATTTTTCCTCATTATTTTCAAAGACTAATAAGGCCATCACCTTTAGTACTTCAAGAGTAGGTAATAAATAAAATAATATGAAAATATGAAAAAACTTGAAATCTTATTTTCTTTTGAATTCCCAAAAAGTTGAAATTTTGTATTGGGACACTTTCATCGTAAAGGTGCAACCTGAAGGTCGGTAAACGTCAAGAAATTAGTTTTGATCGTTGACCACGAATTAATTATTGTAATTTTAATTTAATTTAATTTTTTTTTTTATGATTGATTTAGTGTCTGTTTAAGTATATCTAAATGTTTTAAAATGAATGTTGAGCACAGTAATAATTGGGCACAGATATGCCTGTTGTATTAATTTTTAAGTGTTTTTATTTTCCTCACTTTCTGTATCTGATGTCTGTACATTGTGCCATAAATAAAAAATAAAAAATAAAAATAAAATAAATTTTCATCACTTGCTTGGAAATGAAAATATCGTGAGAAAACTTGGATTTCGGAGATAATTGCCGAAATCTTCAAAGATGCGAGAATGTCAAGTTTCCAACCAGTACTTACTATGCAAGTGCAGTGGACTAAACCTTGTGCAAAAAATAGTACTTTACTAACTTACATACGTCTATTGCTGAGCGCACGTTTCTAATAACAGGCTTACGCTTAATTTGACTTATCTACACACGACAACTTTCTGGGTATGGGTTTATTACATGGTGAAATTGAAATAATTAATATCCGTTGAACCTATTAAGGTTCTTACTTCCTAATAATATCTACTCATCTAAAGAAATATTTTAGAATAGTTTAAATTAGCAATAGTGTAAAACCATAAAAAATCTTACCTAAATAAACAAAGTATCAAGATTAGTCGCCTTGCGTACGCGATACGTAATCGTAGCGAAGTCGCAAGCCTTTGGCGGCAACTTTGGCGGCAAAAATATCACCTTTGATTTTCGCCGCCAGCATTTGATTTTATACATGGTGATGTGGATTAGTGGTTAATGTTAGACTCGTTTCGGAGGTCGTGGATTCGATTCTCATAGTTGACTGGCTCTATGGGGTAGTTGTTAGAGTGTTAGGTTTTCTTTGCGGATGTCGTAGATTTGATTCCCATAGTCGACTGCCTCCATAGTCTAGTGGTTAGAGCGTTAGGCTTTCTTTTCGGAAGTCGTGGATTTGATTCCCATAGTCGACTGCCTCTATGGTGTAGTGGTTAGAGTGTTAGGCTTTCGTTTCGGCGGTTGTGGATTTGATTCCTATAGTCGACTGCCTCCATGGTGTAGTGGTTAGTGTGTTAGGCTTTCGTTTCGGACGTCGTGAGTTTCCGATGGGTGACTGCCTCCTTAGTGCAGTATATCCGTAATCACTCAGTCAGTTCTTGCATTATGTGGAAGTGGTACGGGTGATGGTCAGAGCTTGTTTACAAACAAAGGCGTATGCAGTGCAACGTTGAAGGTCGTAGACGTAGGATATAGGTATTCGTTTAATGTGTATGTAATGATGTAATTTGTATCAGGAGAAGGGTCTTATTTCAAAAGGATGGTAATAATTTTAATTTCTCCCTGTAGGTACATTATGAAAACGTTACCCTATATTCCAAAATTTGCGTTTCAGTCGGCGTCCTTTGATGTGCCGCCGCTGAGGCAGAGGTGCTATTTTTTAATTTTTTGTAACAGTCTGTAATTGCCGTTTGCGTTGTGAGGACTAAATAGGTGTCATCGTTTTGTTTGTGTCTTGTTTTTGTGTTTATTTAAACTATGTCACGCTTAAGCAATAGTGATTACTAAGAGATGATGTTGTGCGTAGGCGCAGCCGATGGGAGCTTGCGCCAGTCTCGCCAAATTTATTGGGCAAAGTTTATTGATGGCGTCCCAGAAAATCGACGTCGACCATTTCCTGCTGTGGAATGCTTCAGGAAGATGGTTATGAGACTTCATAATAGTGGATCGTTCCGTGGTTCCAGTTCTGAAGGCCGGCCGAGTTCACGAGACCCAGAATTCGAGGCAGATGTTTTGGAACATTTTCTCGGCAATCCAAAGACAAGTACTCGTCGTGCTGCGGCAGCCTTTGGTGGTGTGAACCATATGAGTGTGTGGCGTGTGCTACGGGATGATGGCCAGCACCCATACCATTTTCAAAGAACGCAGGAGCTGTTACAAGCGGACTATGATCTACGTTTGGCATTTTGCCGCTGGTACCGCGACCAGGTTGGGAGGTCTCCCGACTTCGCTTCGTCGGTACTGTGGACAGACGAGGCGTCATTTACGCGTGCGGGCATTATCAATATGCATAATGAACATTTTTGGACTCATTTGAATCCCCGCGTATCAAGGGAATCAAATTTTCAACACCAGTGGCGGATTAACGTGTGGGCTGGTATAATAGGTTGTGCCGTCATCGGTCCAGTGTTTTTGCCGGCAAGTCTGAATGGGGCCAATTATTTAAGATTCCTAACAGAAGACTTGGGTGACGTTCTGATGGCCCTGCCAGTGACACAATACGTGAGACTCGTGATGGAACACGGGATGACTTTCTAGCACGATGGAGCACCCGCACATTTTGCTCGAAATGTACGTTCCCATCTGAACGACCGTCTCCCGCAGTGGATTGGGCGGGGAGGTCCTGTACCCTGGCCAGCGTGGTCCCCAGACTTGACACCGCTCGATTTTTTTTGTGGGGTCATATAAAAATATTGTTTATGCGGAGTCCTGTGAAAGCGCAGAAGAAATGAGGCAGCGGATCGAAATGGCGTTTAGTCAAATCACTCGGCAGATGCTTCAAAGAGTAGAGCAGTCTCTGTACCGACGCACGGAAATATGCATATTGCATGGAGGTCGGCATTTTGAACCTTACCTGTAAATGTGTGAAATGTGCCAGCAGTGCGTGTAGTGATTGTACTTATTATTCAAAATTATCGTAAACAAGTCAATATTTCGTACATTGTACAACAGTGAATTACAATTCGTAGGAAATTCATTAAAACGTGTATGAATTGCACAGTAGGTAAGTACCAATTAAAAAAGTATCCACTATTGTAAAATTGTCGTAAATAAATGTATTAATACAAAATTATGTAGAATGTGTATACGATGAAGGCGTGCGTAACTACGGGCTTAATAAGTAAATAAATATCCTTTAAATTGTATGTAAATAAGTACGTACCTAGGTATGGTATAAAATAATATTGTTAGAAATAATTCGATTTTTCTAGGTATTTAAAGATTTTGTTACTTAATATTAACGTGTTATCAACATATTCAAATCATGTTTTTACAGTGGCATTTCAATTGTAGTCAGCTGTTCTTTCGCCCCGCTTGCGGCCGCCCAGGTTTCATTAATGAATTTGTGAAGTCGTAGTAACGTAACTAGCAATAGAGTTGTGACGCAGTGGTTGTTTCGGACAATCACTATTTATACAAACATAATTAAAGTTATATCAACATTAAAAGTCACTTATTTTTATTTGATATTTTGCACAGAGGGTCTAGATCAAGTATAGGTTTGGCTCCTTTAATATGACTACACCTTGCGGTTACACCCTGTATAAATCTCTATTTAAGTGTGGAAACCAAAACTTACCAGTCAATATTCAGATTTATATATTTAATTCCGATTCTAAAACTGAGCAACAAATCACACCAAACTACTTTCGCCAAGAAAAAACCGCGAAAGTTTAAAAAAATACAATTTAACATTACTTTTTTCTTTCATAACTGTCGTTTAACAATTTTGTTCCGATTTACACAGTTTCAATACTAAAAATAAAAGATCGCCATACATAAAATAAATTTTTAAATCTTTTACGCAACTACGTTCAAAGTTACACCACGATTCAAAGTTACCCGAATTGACTGTATTTGTATGTAGTTTTTTGCGACTAAAACCGGCTAAATGCCAAATTTACATAAAACTCGAGCGTGATCAAGATGAACTAAGTGATGCCTATTTCTTTATTTGGATTAACATTTCACGCATATATTGTTTCAACAGGAAAGAAATAACCAACAATCTACCACAGAAAGAACTGACTTTTACGCCAATAAAAATGTAAGTTAATAATAAAAGCTTTTGTACTTACTTTATACTGGTGATGTAATATAGACAATACTGGATAAATATTTGTTTTAATTTCAGGGGTCTGGAAAGAAAGCGGCTACGACTTAGCTTAATGGACGCAAGGAGTACACCAATAATTAATTCAGATTTCAGTTCGCACAAAAGTTCGGAAACTAGCATCAGTAGTGAAGACTTGCTTACTTCCTCTGAACATTTATTCAGTGCTCACGACACTATAGACTTATCGCCGGATATGAAGCAACCAAATAAGGATTATGTTCGTATTTCTAAGCAAGAATACGAAGAAATCAAAAGCAGAGTTTCAGCTATAGAGAACAGACTTTCGAGGGAATTTACAGACGTTATACCAAAGGTACAGCCTTTCCAGCAAGTGCAAAATGTGTACGAGCAAACTTTAGAGGAAGTTGCAATGCTAAGTTATCCTAACTCTGATCAACTGGCTCGGCGATTGAGCAAAGAACTGAAAATTCGACCAGATGAACAAGCGAAGATTATTCGATCGCCAAGTGCAAGAAAAATTGGCTCAATAAGGCGGAGATCTAAAGAGAACATAACTAAAATCGTTAGACACAAGTCCTGGAATGTGTCTTCACAGTCACAAAATAATGCAGATCGATTCTACCCATACATAGGACTAACGCGTGACAGAACACACACCGCAAAGCCGGAGTTAGTGGTTACAAAGATGCTGAACTCCGATTGGGACACGTCGGTCTCCGAAAATTCCTTGAACAATGTGTCAGATGCTAGTCAAAAATATCGTTTGCGGAAAAGATCAAGTCTTGCTTCTGATTATAATCTCAATAAAACTATTGGTAAAGCACGGAGATCTCTGAACATAACTAATAATAATGGTTGGGAGACATCAGCATCTGAAAGCTCTATGAATAATACCTCAACTTCTGGAATGTATAAAAATTGTAAGAAGAGTCTATCTCCAGCACAGCCGAAGTGGCGTAGTGCTGCTGCATTTTTCATGGAGAAAACTGGCGAAATGGACAGTTCTGGCCAAACGGGTCGTCCTTCGGTCAACAAGTTACGTAGTCAGAACGCTGGAGCTGTTCTTGCGAAAGCTAAACTCTTTGAATCTAGTTCCGATAAGTCTTCCGAGAGGAATGAAAAACCGGCAAATACTGGTTTTGCAAGACGTCCTAGAATTAATGGCCCACAACCTGTCAGACCACAGAAGAATGTAGCTTATGTTAAACCCAAGATTCAAGTTACCAGTGATGAAGTGGCACCTCGAATACCTATGCGAATCAATAGAACTATTGAGGCAGCTCCAATGGTGCCGTTGAGACCGTCTCATAGAGATGGCCTGGATCTTTTGAAGAATAGTAGACTTAAGACTACACCACCTATCAAGAAAGTCTCATCTCCTTACAACATTGTGAAAACACCCCAAACACCAGCTCTGAAAAAGCCGTTGTGTACGGCAAGAACATTACGCACGCCAGCACAGAATACGGATTACAGGAAACCAAATACTCCACTTAAAGCCGTACATGTTTCTCCCAGAAGGCGATCTCCAAGACAAAAGTTACTAAGATACAATCTACCTAATTAATTATTTTGAACCTTAATTTTAAATAAGACGTAAATAACTTTTACTAAAGGAAATTTAATTATAGATAAAAAAATGTTATTGCAGAAACGCTCAATTAAAATTAGTACAAGTAAAATTAGTATATGTAAATGTGATTTAACAAATCAGTTGCCATGTTGTAAATAGTGAATTATTTTTGATTGAAGGTCAATAAATATTTAAGTGATTTAATAATATTTGCGTTTGGTTTTATATTGACCCATAGATATAGGAAAAAAGGGGAGATTTGGTCAAAATGACCATGTCGAGGTGACACGCCTTCAAACATTGCTACAGTGACATGGCGATCGTTGTATATACAAGATCTCTCGTAAAACGTAAAAATGCCAAGTTGTAACGATATACCTCGTAAAAATTGGAGTGAAAACAAAAATTTTAAAACCAGGGGGATAACATACCACCGGCTATTTGCATTTGACTATAATTATTCAATGTTTTCTTTTTGTCTCCATAGAAATTTCTAAACTCAAATATAGTGAGGTTCATTTGCGATAATTGATGTTTATCGACAATTAATTTTTACAGAAACGTTTGAATTTCTTACTATGACTTTTGTTATTAAAGGCCCCAAAATGTCGAAGCGAAAAGCATTAACGTTAAATTGATTTCTTTTATTATTATTACTAAACATTTTATTTCGAGTAACTTTAACACAACTCATATTTCGGACAGCACGGTGGGCTGAAAATCGGCTTTCATAGACTTAGGGATTTTAATTTGCAAGTGTCAGTTTTTTTTGCCGAATATTGCTTCTTTTGGTTATAACTATGTACAAATATGACACCCGAGTTGATTATGTTAAAAAACGAAGGGGTTATAATTCTTTTTCGAAAAATGTGTATGAAACTTGTATGAAAAATCGAATTATCTTTTAAACGGCAAGGAAAACCATAATATCCTTACAGGTGGTTATAGTACTAACTATTTATGATTTTTTGGCATACTCCAGATAACGGTCATAAATGTCGTTTTTTTTAATCATCAAAATATTTTTATTTAAGTTTACATGTGAAACGAAATGATTTAGTCTTTGAGTTGAGGAACACAAACTTTTACAACACGTAACATAAAATACTATCACCCCTATATTCCCAAAAAGTAGCCAGAGGTTTACAGTACACCCACACTTAGACAAATATTGTTTAGTTTTATAATGAGTCTAAAAACAAGTGATTAAGTAAGTAATTACAACGATATTGTCTTCTAATGAGTCAGAATAGGTGATTAAATGATTATCAATACCGCACAACAATGCCAACTATGGACTTAATTAAACTTTTTCTGGTGAGTAAGCTAATTTGTTGATTAGTTGTGCTTTCAGTTCTAAAAAAATATATATATTTTAAGCATGTGCGCTATTTACTCTAACTCTATTGAGGGTAGTTAACTAACTAATTATCAACTTTTTGCAATAAAAGGGTTAACATTTTGCTTAATAATTTATATCGTTCACAACTGTGTAACTGCTAACATTAAATCTCTGCTCAAAATTTGAAAATGGAAAGTTTAATCCCCAATTTAGATTTGTTCGTTCTTCTAAAAAGTGAGAGTACTTCATTTAATCAAAAAGTATTGTTTGGTGCTATTGTATCCCGCATAGGCGATTGCTTTTCTGATGAAGATCAAGTAACTCTGAAAGAGTTTTGTTGGAGATTCACGCGAGCTGCTTTACAGAGGTGGAAGAAATCCGATCGATTCATTGATAATTTCAGAAGACTATACGGGAATTGGCTGCAAGCAAATATTGATTGGCCAAGTTGTGTGCAAACTTTACTTCATCAAGAACCAACTGCTGATGAGTTACCAGACACACACTCAGTCTTTCAAGAACCGTCTACTTCATCGTGTGTTGGAACAATGACGAAAAGGTCCCGAAAACCATTCGAAGATCTGGGAAGCAAACAAAAAAAGAGAAGATCTGATGATCATGCAGGCGAAAATTCCAGTGAATTAGCATATGCAGCTGCAGCACGTTAGAAAAAAGAAGGGCATGATGATATCGCATCTGTAATCGAGTATATGATGAAAAATCCAGAAGCAGCCGTTACAGTAATAAAACGCTTAAGAAACCATTGAAAACAGTCATATTTACACCAGAGAAAGCGCTTGGATTGCTTCTTTCACTAAAACTGTCAAAGTGGCAATATATTAAGTTGCGAGAGGCTGCCATTCGGGAAGGTGCTGAGGGTATTTATCCATCCTACTATAAAGTGCAACAAACCAAGCTTGATTGCTATCCTCCGAAGCAATCAGTATCATTTACGGATTCATCGGCCAGGATTACCCTTCAAGCTTTACTTGACATCACGGTGACTAGGATCCTTCAAAGTCTTTCTGATGATGTGCAAAATAAACAGTTAAAGATAATATCTAAGTGGAGATTTGATGGTGCTTCCAACCAAAGCCGATACAAACAGAAAATGGAAGGCGAGCAAGATGATTCAAGCATTTTCATGAGCACATTAGTGCCATTAAAACCTTGCTCGGCTTTGTATTGGCGTCCAGTTCAGTTTACTTTTGTAAAAGAGAGCGAAGCAGTTGTCATTGATCACAAAAGACAAATGGATGATGAAATTAAGGCCCTTATCCCCACAGAATGCAGTAATAGTAACAGTGTGACTCATCAATTAATGATGACAATGATTGACGGTAAAGCCTGCACTTATCTTTCTGAAGCCAGATCAAATGCATCGTGCTACATGTGTTTATCGAAACCAACAGAAATGAACCGCTTAGATGCTGTAAGATCAAAGACCGTGTGTTCTGATATATATGAGTTTGGCTTGTCATCCCTACATGCCCGAATAAATTGCATGGAATGGCTGTTACACATTGCGTACAGACTTGACTTCAAACAGTGGGCTGCGAGAAGTAATGAGCACAAAGATGTGCTGCAGACAAGAAAGAAACTGATTCAAAATAAATTCGAAGATGAGCTCAATCTGTTGATTGATATAGTGAAACAAGGTTCAGGAACTACGAATGATGGGAATACAGCCAGAAAGTTTTTCGAGTTTGCCAAAAAAATTGCAACTATTACCGGGTTGGATGAAGAACTTATCAATAGATTTGCTGTTATTTTGCAGGCAATCACATCTGAAGAAAAGATTGACGTTGTCAAATTCAAAGATTTTGCCCGCAAAACAGCAGAAAAATACGTGTAATTATACGACTGGTATTACATGTCGGCAACTGTACATAAATTATTAATTCACGGGGCTGACATAATAGAGAAAAACGACATTGTGCCTATTGGGACTCTTTCGGAAGAAGCCTCAGAGTCTCGAAATAAAGATTTCAGGAGGTTCCGAGAACATCATTCACGGAAAAGAAGCAGGCAAGATTCAAATCAAGACATTCTGAATATGCTTCTTGTGTCTTCGGATCCTGTTCTAAGTGCACAAAGGCCTAAATTAGATGCCAAGAGAAAGCAGAGCTTTTTTTCTGAAACTCTTGATCTAATTTAGTTTCAGCAGACTGAGTTCGAGTTTTTAGATATCTCCAATCTGGATTCTGACTCAGAATTGGAGTCCGACAACGAGAGCGATAAGGAGAATTTGTAAATTTAATTACATATTATGATTTCTTGCTATTTTTGTAAGTTTATTGTACCAATAGGTTTAAGTAGTTATTATAATTCATCAAATTAGTTATTAAAATATTTTGTATGTTGTATTTAAAGTAGGTACTGGTATAACTGGTTGAAGACTGTAGCATCTTTTTTTTTTTTTTGACGGGGGGAAATCTTTATGGATACCCCTGAGCCCAGGGAGACTCAGGGGTTATGTGGGAACTCTCCCTCCAGACTGGAGGGCCTACCCCACTAAAACCCCCCCGGGTTTCCCTCTCGCCGGTTGAGTCGGCGCCGTGGGATCGGTGAACATTCACCACGACGCCGCCCGGCCGCCCTAGCTTGCGCCAGGGCTCCCGCGCCAACGGAGGGGCGAGTCGGTTGTCTTCCGACCCGCCCCCCAAACGAGTGAGGCCGTGCAATGCAGGCTCCGGAGTCCCTGTTCAGAGCCCGCTGGCCTCACTAGGGGATCAGGCGAGCAGCGAACTGCCTTCGCCTTCTCCCCGTACGTCTGCGCCGAAGCGGGTGCGCGTCCGCCGCGTCCTCGCGCACCCGGTCCGCGGCCTCCTTTTGCGACATAACCTCTGCGCAAAAGGAGGCCACCGCCTCCCAGGTCTCCTCGCTACCGAGCATGGCGGCAACCACGCTCGGCAGCGAGAGGTCCTGCCCTACAGTCCACGATGTACGTCCTACGTGGCACGACGGGGACGGTTCCCTCCTCGCCACCTTGTGCAGGAAGTGACCGAAGCAGCCGTGCGACTGTACCACCTCAGACAACCGTGACCATAAGGTAAACCTGTAAAGGACCCGAAACCTCGATTTGTTTGAAAAAACAAATATACGCGATTTAAACCCGGAAAAATAGTTTCATTTCCTATGTGTAACAATCGCGAAAACCTAAGAACTCGATAGGTACTGCTTTTTTAAATATTTTTTTGGTTTTTAGATATTTATGTAGTTAACTAGAAATGTTTCATTTTTAGTTTTGTCTGTGGTTAGGTTTTAGTATAGGTGCTTTAAGTATTTATTATTTGATATAAGTGTAATTTTTTTTTATATTTTGTTTCAGTTTAATAATATTATTTGAAAGTTTTATTGTATGAATAAAATTTTTATTGAATTGATATTCAATTATTTTTTGTGAAATTACTCCACTAGTTTATTATAATTATTAACACAAAGATCGAACACTCACAAAAAATTCCTTCGATCCGGTCGGATTCGAACCGACGTCTTCTTGCATATCGTGTCAGACGCTATACCAACTAATTTTATATTTCATCTTGTTTTGTATATTCTTATTATTTGGAAATACTACGTTCTTAACTTAGACACTAAAAGGAGAAACAGTTCCTTTTAGTGTGTAACTTAAGAATGTATAAATAAACAAGAATATTTTAACAATTAAATAGGTAGTTGTAATTACTTAATCCCTTGTTTTTAGATTCATTACAAAACTAAACAATATTTGTCTAAGTGTGGGTGTACTATAAACCTCTGCCTACTCTTCGGGAATATAGGGGTGATGCTATTTTATGTAAAAAGTTTGTGTTCCTCAACTCGTTTCACATGTAAAATTAAATAAAAATATTTTGATTTTTTTAAAAAAAAAACGGCATTTATGACCGTTATCTGGAGTATGCCAAAAAATTATAAATAATTAGCACTATAACCACCTGTAAGGATATTACGGTTTTCCTTGCCGTTTAAAAGATAATTCGATTTTTCATACAAATTTTTAGAAAAAGAATTATAACTCCTTCGTTTTTGAACATAATCAATTCGGGTGTCATATTTGTACATAGTAATAACTAAAAGAAGCAATATTCGGCAAAAAAACTGGCACTTGCAAATTGAAATCCCTAAGTCTATGAAAGCCGATTTTCAGCCCACCGTGAGTCATTTCAATTTTATGTCAATTTGTATGTTGCTGATGCTTGAAGAAAAATGTATATGTATTATCGTTTTAGATATTTAAATTCCAAGATTAAACGTAGAGCATTTTTAAGATTTTCCAATGAGTTCAAAATAAAAGGTTGGATTGAAACTGCAGGAAAATCGAATTCTTATTTCTGACTTTGTTTAAATTTCCATAGTAAATGCATTTAAAAAATAAATAAAATAAAACTGGTTTTATTTGACATGTGCATGCAAAGTTAATTAGAAACAATTATGGAAAATTACATAAATCCTTCATAAAAAACCAACAATTTGTTTTATGAAATTCGTTGAGGGTTCGAGTTAGTTTTTTTTTAGTATTAGTTTCACGGCATCGGAATAAATCCATCAAGCCAAATCTTCAATTTTTTACTCTTGACAGTGACAGCTTCACCAACCCGTGGTAACCTTAGAGGATGGAAAAAAAATGTAACGTATTATGGAAAACTGACACTGACGACGATTAAAATTGTGTGACGTCGTTTTCATGTTTTAAGCCCTAACCAATGTTATGGTAATAGATAATAGAGCGAAAAGTTTGAATTGCACACAAGCTAAAAAGTGGTGACAACGGTACTCGATCTTACATGGCGTCATTACATATCTCCCCTTTTTTCCATAATCATGTATTGACCTACCTCCTTTGGAGACGATTGGTTGAAGGAGTCTTGTTTCAGAATGTAAAATAAAATGCTGATTTATAATATTATATGATGTATATCACGGCTTTTACAGTGGTATTTTCATGTATAAACAAAATATCCAGATTTTAATTCAATAAATTAGAACATAGTGACAATTCTATAATAAATAACAATAATTTCACATTCAAGAATACAAAAGCATCGGCGGCACAATAATTTGGACGAGACGATAAAACCTGTTCTTGAAATTAACTAAAACAAATTCACTTATACATTTAGCGATTGATCACAGATTGAGGATTATAAAAAAAGCAAGATTTAGAACATACCGTGCTATGGAGACGATTTAACAATTCGAAACTTGCAATAGTGATTGATTATTACTGAGTAATTTAGATTTCATTATAGCTTATCGGCTAACTTATCACTATCAGCACTATCCGCTCTCTCGCGGCTCATCCCAGTTCCTAACATTGCTTCTCGATCGATATCAATACCAAATTTAAATTAACAATATAATAAAATATCAATTGTACCTAAGATCTTTTCCAATTAAATACGCACATCCGTTCTTAAATTTGCATCTTAATATACAGTAACGGGACGCGCCCGCGGCTAATGATATCTCCCATCTATCTACTGGCTCGCAGGCAAAGTGGCTCTTTACATACAAGCGCGACTCTGAGCATAACGTACGTAATTCATAATTAAACATACATGTTGTGATCAATAATAAAAATATAATGATACAAATACATTAATTACTACATTTCGATTATTGTGTGACATAAATATTTACAAAGCGCATTAGTAGCGCTGAATAGTTAGGAGAGGCAGACTCGAAGAAGATGCCGTGCGTCGCGTCCACAGCTCATCGACGGCGGTGGGCGTTTGGCTTGCGGTGGCGCCGCGGCCGGCGACCGGCAGTCCTGTGCCTCCATGGCCCGTGCTAGACTCACTAACCACTAGTATAACCGACCTCACTCACTTCACAACTATCTTTATTAACTAAAACGTATAGACGAAAACCCCGTCGTCAGGAGAGCTAAGGGTAAATGCTCCGATATAATATGAACTCGTGTCGTTTAATGGTTAAAATCGATATCATATTATAATACAATATAAAGCCATCCCAACTGTCACAGTCGCTGGATCGAAAACTAAAACTAGTAACTTAATTATGCATAGTATTTTTGACCAAAATAAACATAATCTTCCCCATGATTATGAAACTATGGTAGATACTATAAATACTACTACCAGTACATCTTATAAAACGAATAACATTATTCTAATTATCAATGTGATTTTGAGATTATGGTACGATTACAATTTGGGAATGCTTGATACTAATAGACGTAATTATTAAGTACAAATGATTGAAATAAATCTCTACATACACAAATTTTCGTTAATAACAACAAGAGTATAAAGATGTAAAATACATAATAATTAGCGGTTACACGATTACGAATAGCACACGCGCCAAACGGCATCGTGATCAGCGACTTCGATGAGAATATACAGTGGAGTTTTAGGTAATAAAAATAATTGCTACAACTAGTGTACTTACACTACATCATTAGACAAAGTGCAAAATCACACGTTGGACGATCGGAGACATAGAAAGTACAAATGGTATCATAGTAATCGTTGCAGTCCAGCGAATAATACCTAAAGTAATAAATAATGTTCATAGAAGTTTCCGACGAATACTGATATCCGACGCGTGGCGGTGCCTAGGACACGGTAGCGGGACGGGTCCGCGCGCCCTTGCCCCGCCGCCCCACCCCGCGCACCCTGGCCACAGCTTCGCCCAGGCGCAAACACGACGCCGTCGCGGCCGTCTCACGTGTAGGCGGAAATCATTAAAATTCTATTGACTGGGATCCCCGGCTACCTCCGACGCGCCAGAAGGTCAGACGACCTGGATGTTGTTGTTGACGCGAAAGAGGTTGCGGATGACGACGGCGGCAACGCGGCCGTCGTGCAGCGTGACGAGGATGTGCATGGCGAATGGCGTGGCGGCGGCGCGGACCATGACGGACGGCGGGCTGTGCGGCGCGTGGGCCGGAGCTCAGTTCACCATCAGCGTGTGCGACTCCATTGGTGCTGCGGAGTCGTACAGCGTGTCTGTGTCCTGCGTCGGTTCACCCTGCAGCTGACACTGGTTCGACAGAGTCCCCGCGCCGCAGTCGCAAAAGAATCTGTGTACGTAAGAGCAAACATATTTTAGTAACTGTAATAATAACTGATTTAAGTGCTTGCTAAATTGTGCTTATCAAACAAACCTAATTCACTTATTTGTGAACACAGGTTGTAAAAGTTGACATGTACAAAATAGGTATAGTTTCACTGTCTGGCCAAATATTTAGGCGTACAAACATATATATTACATTATACAATAACTCACATGCTCTTTCAAAACTAAACCAAGTGTGACTTGTTTTTTTAATAATAAATAACTTAAAATCTCTCCTTGAATAAAAATTTACATATTACTGTAAATTACCTGTCATGACGAATGAATTCTACATCATGACCAGAATGGCACGTTTTGATGCAATTGACACAGATAGCATTGCGGTCTGTTGTATTGCAGGTCTGGCACCTGAAATACAATACAAAGACAATTAGATCCGTTATTTTAAAAACATGTAATTAAGATAGAACTTGTAAAATAAGAGAGATTCGTACCTGTAGAAATCGTGCATAGGGAAGGAAGTATAAGATGAGATCTTGTATAGACACTGGCCTCCGCCCACGGCCTTTTCCACCGCGTCTTGGTTGCTGAAAATCTTGTTACCTCTCACCATGGGTGACACACCGGATGCCAAACATAAACCTGAAAGAACAAGAAGGAATTAGTGATATATACATTTTCAAGTCGCTAGACACCACAGGAGCAAAGATCCATAGGAGTCGTTTGTTTTTCTAGAAGCAGCCGACTAGCCAACATGCTCATATGATTGTATCAGAGCAAATAAATTATACTAGATAGAGCTTATTAAAACAGAGAGTCTACCAATAAGTTTTGTTTTAGCTGATTTTCTATCACATTCCAGTGAAAATTATCTTATTGACGTCGTTTAACGCAAACACTTTAGTAACATTTAATACAGTTTGTCTAGTTCTGATTAATTGTAGTTAAAAGAAACAATGTAGTTCTATCAGCAAAAATCATATACTCACCTCCAAACCGGTTATTAAAGATCTGATTATGCTCAAGAGTGGCAGTGGCGTTGTTGGTGATCTCGACGCCGGCGGCGAGCCCGTCGAAGATCCGGTTGCGTCGCAGCACGGGGTGGCTCTGCGTCGAGATTAGCACCCCGGCTTGTGCGTTGCGAAATATGTCGTTCTCTTCTAAGACGCCCTGATGAAGACGGATTCATCATTAGTTTTTAGTACAAGTTGTGCACCACCATGCAAGAAGAAATTCGAAGAAACCAAGCAATCTGATGACAATGACTGGCAACCTTATTAGGTGGTTTGTTTACATTCGTGTTTTGATTTAACTGGTCAACTTTAAAAAGAATAGAGAAGCATTACTTTTCATTTTCTGCTACTTCACATCCAATATCAAAAATTTCTGGTTCCGATTGTTGAAATTCATATATAACGTACATACATATAAATCGAATGTCTAATCTAATATTAATATAATAGACAATAGTATAGAAGCGGGTATTTATTCTAAAGATTAACTATGAACTTATATATACCGTCGCTTTGCTTTCTGAAACTCGTATCTTAAAGCACAAAGTTATGCTCTGACCACACAGAGGCGGCCGCAGAAGCGTTCCGGGGTCGCGAATTTTTGTAATGTACGAGTTCATATGAACCCTGCCACACTGAAACGCGCGGCTGCGCCCGGAACGCTTCCGCGGCCGCTTCTGTGTGGCCTGAGCTTTAGTGAAATGCTAAAAATTTATTGTATATATTATCCAAATTTTGGAGGCTGATTTCATATGACATTTCCTTTATATTTACCTATACTTAAAGTAATGCTTCCAAATTACTACACTTGATAAGAAATTTAAAATAAATAGAAAGAATTGTCGTCTACTGAATTATATCACCCTTTGTAAGATATGAGTTTGAGAAAGTCAAGACTTCAGGCTAATGGAAAATTGCCCTTAAGTCATACATTATCGGGCAACGAACGTTTGAAACAGTTGCGGCGGCATACTCGATCTCTACAAAGCACTTTTAAGTACAAAGTTCTCTCGTATCCATTTTCGTCACTGGCATCGGAAAAATATTACTTAAAACTTATTTAGTATTCTTACCTTGCCACCATTAAAAATACATATACCCCCATCACGACCGTCAAAGATTTTGTTTCTTTTCAACGTGGGGTTGGAGTCAGTCTTTATCCACACTCCTGCCATAGCATTGTCGAAGATTTCATTTTGTTCTAGCATGCCTAGCCCACCATTGTACACAAGTACGCCGCCGTTCTGTCCGCCCCAGATTTTATTGCCACGAATGAGTGGATTGCTGCCTGTTCGAATTTGTACACCAGAATACAGATGGTTAAATATGTCATTGTCTTCTAATTTTCCGTGCCCGTTGTCATAGAAGTATACGCCGACCTGAAGGAAATAATACAAAAACGTAATAACTATTTTAAATTTTATTTAAATAAGAACAGGAAAGCACTTCTAGGATAAAATATAACTGTAACTTTTTTATTTTAAAAATCTGACCTTAACATTTCCTGGAATTACATCCATTTGCCAAGTTTTATTGAAATCAACAGAAAGTAGGTGAAATCTAATAAGCTAGATTCATCCCCTAATTTGCTACCCTTAGAGGTGAAATAATTGTTTCAAATTTTAAGTACCACTACCGAGGCACCCTCTTTTCAACAAAAAAAAAACAATCGAAATTGGTTCACAAAAATCGGAGTAATCGCGTAGTATACACGACAAAAGAACAGTGGAATGGAGTAACTTTTCCTTTTTAAGGCGGTTAAATAATATATAAATATTATATTACATAAAGGAATTTCTTTTCTAAGATTATCAGTTGGGGTTTTTATATCAGCATTGTACAAAGAAATTTTGTTAAGTTGTGTTGCAGTTGCAGTGCCACTTGGAGCTTTAAATAGCAAAGATCTGAGGGGCACTGCCATTGCGCCCCTGACACAACTTGACAAGTCCAATGTGCCTGTAATTTCACCGGCACTCTTACCCTTCAAAACAGGAATGGTGTAATGCTGGATATTACTGCTTGGCAGCAGAAATAGGTAAGGTGGCAGTATTTCCCTGGACAAACTCTTTCACAAGGAGCTCTACTGCTACTATAGGTGTTAAAAGTTAATCGAAGGGCTTTTATTCAAGAATTTTGTACCTACCTGTTTTCCAGAATGTATACGATTACGACGCAACACAGGCGTTGAGCCCGTGGTAATCCAAACACCGGCCAGCGTGTTGGCGTAAACTTCATTCTCTTCGATGAGCCCTTGGCCTTTCTCGTGCACATAGATTCCACCATGCTGACCGTGATGGATCTTATTGTGCCTCACAATAGGGTCGCTATTTGTGCGGATCTGTAATCAATCATTTTTGTTAGCAGGTCTGATAAACTACTTTACTCTTACCTCAGATCTAAAGGAATGAGTAGGCATAGCAGTTCTAACAACCGGCTCTAATGAGCATTGTAAAATGCTGGATTATTTTTCTTAATCCAAATCATTTGTATACTCTATTTTTTTTTGAAGATGGAATAAAATGACATTTGCAGGGTTGCCAGTTTTCGTAAAATTTCAAATAGTCATATGGTTGTTGTCGACAGTTTTATATTTTTATTTTATATAATATTTATCGACTGCAATCACTAGCTGCTTGCAAGCAGGCAACACTGCGTCATGATCGAGTTCTTAGGTTTTCGCGATTGTTACACATACTCAGTCAGTCAGTCAACCGTGACCATGGGACCTGTAAAGGGCCCGAAACGTCGCACAGTGGGGAAAAATTACGATTTAGCTGGCCAAAAGTCGATTTTACAAAAGTCTGCCCAGGTAAAAAAAAACTGGTCCCTGATAAAGTTGAATAGACATAGAACAAAAGCCCGCCCTACCCCTTCCCTTCCTGACCCTATGACAACCGTATGATCAGTCGGAACTTGATCATCGCTTTGAGTGCATGTATCGATTCGCGGCGTCTCTTGCAAAAACGTGTACTTTAAAAGTGACTATTGGCTCGTGTGCGTGGGATTTTTTATAAACACCATATGGATTCCAGTATGACAGGTAAAAACGTATATATTTTATTTTTTTATTGTGAATTTATGTAGATTTACTATTAATTTGAGACACTAAAAGTCAACACTAAAATATTTCAAGAAAAAAATGGTTTTTCAGAATTCAAAAAGGTTTTTGATGTATTTCTTCACATTTCTATGCAGTGATTCTACTACAATTATAATGTCAAAGGGTTTAACATACTAAAAGCACTAAAATTGGCTGCGATTTTTTGCGATAATGAGTGTTAGACATATTTGAATCGAGCAGGGTCAAATAGCATAATAATATTATTTTACTTTAACTATATTTTTTTTTTAATTTCAGGACTGGGAGAAGGCTCGGGATGTAATGTGATGACGCGGAAGTATCTTTTTGACAAAATGCAAAATCAAGATCTGCCTAGTTTTGACTCAAAATTAGATTATCTTGAAAATTTCATATTGTCATATGAAAATTACACCGACGATCAACTGAAGTATTTAAAGCAGAAGTTTTCGCTATTGAAGGCTGCATTTAAGAAAAAATGGACAGAAGCGTATAGAAGACAAGAAACATTCCTGGTAAAAAATGAGAAGTGGTTACAAGGAACATTTGAAATTCCAAGAGTTTCACAAATTTCTGTGGGTCGCCCATTCAAACCTTTTGAAGAATGCAGCGAGAGAAGCAAACGCAGAAAAACTCAAGAACTTCGTGGTGTTGTTGATAAGACTGTACTATTACACGCTACACAAACATCGCTATATAGTTCTGGAAAGAGAACTGCATCCAAAATACTTGAAAATTTAACAAAATCTCCCAAACGAGCTAAAAAGTATCAAATGGGATACACAACATTACAACAGCAAGTCCCACGATTGTCGCCACTACAGGCTCTTTCTATATTTGTAGAAGCCGATGCTTCTAGACGACAATATGAAATCTTTAGAAGTGCTGATAAGAAACGTTATCCCAATTATAAAGTAATTCAACAAGCAAAAAAAGATTGTTACCCGGTCAAAGAATCATATCGAGTTACGGAAAGTTGTGCTGAAGTAAACTTACAAGATTTACTGGACCATACTACGAAACGTTTGACCATGTATTTGGAAGATGTTTTGGTGAATTTGAATGAAGAAGAGTGCATATCATTACAATTATTATCAAAATGGGGTGCTGATGGATCACAACAAGACCAATTTAAGCAGAAGATCCAAAATGATGCCTCTGATAAATATATTTTTATAAGTAGTTTTGTTCCGCTTCAATTATTTTGTGGTACAGATAATAAGAAAATAATTTGGCAAAATCCAACACCTTCTTCTCCAAGATACTGCCGGCCTATTAGAATGAGATTCACTAAAGAGACTGTTGATATAACCAACTCTGAAATAAACTACATAGAAGAGTCCATTAAGTCGTTAAAAACCAGTGATGTTTTGCAAGGAGAAAAACATTTTATTATTAAACATACAATGATGTTTACTATGATTGATGCCAAGGTATGCAACGCTGTCACATCAACTAGCTCGACCATGAGGTGTTACATTTGTGGTGCAACTTCAAAACAATTTAATAACTTAACCATAAAGTATAACGTAGATGAAGATGCTTTAACTTTCGGTTTGTGTGTGTTGCACGCTAGAATACGTTTTTTTGAGAGTATATTGCATTTATAGTATAAGATAACCATACAATAATGGCAAATAAGATCAGCTAGTGAAAAAGAAATTGTGAAACTTAAAAAAGAAGAAATACAAGCCAAATTCAGGGAACAAACTGGACTCATTGTTGATGTACCAAAGGCTGGATATGGCACCACTAACGATGGAAACACAAGCAGAAGATTTTTTGCCAACCCAAAGCAAGCAGCTGATATCACTGGTGTTGACTTTCAACTAATATATCGTCTCAAAGTGATTTTGGAAGCAATATCCAGTGGTCAGAAACTGGACTTACAAAAATTCGCCGATTATGGGTTGCAAACTGCCAAATTATACGTTAAGCTGTATTCGTGGCATCCTATGACGCCAACATTGCATAAGATTCTAATTCACGGTGCCACTGTGATCGAAAAAGCCTTGTTACCTATCGGTCTTTTATCAGAAGAGGCGGCAGAAGCTCGAAATAAACATTTTCGTCAATACCGACAGAATTTCACCAGAAAATTTTCAAGAGAAGCATGTAACATGGATGTTTTAAACAGACTTTTGTTAAGTTCAGATCCTCTAATAACGAGTATCAGGCCAACACAAAAAAAATACGTTCTGTTTTTAGCAAAGAAGCATTAGATATGATGATTCCTGCAGAGCCATACCATAGTACCTCCGAAACCGAAACATCAGAAAGTTCTGCAGAGGAAACTGAGGAAGTATTTTCTGATGATGAACCTTGGATTTCATCGTCATCCTAGTTCAAATTTTGATTATAAGTCTTGTTTTTTAAGTACAATAAATTCTGTTTAAGAATTTGGTTGTTTCGTTTTATTTAATGCCTTATACACCTAGTTTCTACTTGGACAAATTACAAAAGTTAATATATTAAACTATTTTGACCACTAGAACGCAAAAATACAAAGAAATAATTTTGACCGCCTAAATCGTCATTTTTCCCCTATGTGCGTCGGTTACTTTGAAAAAACAAATATAGCGATTTAAATCCGGAAAAATAGTTTCATTTCCTACTGCGTCATGAACTGTAATTTTACTCCATCTTCAAAAAAGAACCATTTAACGTATTTAACACAGGGTCATTAAGATAAATGTACATTTAGATACACTATATGTATCTAAACATGTACTACATTTAGTAATAAATTAAATGCATAATTGGTATTTATTGTCCAGATGATATCTAATGATGTCATTGCGAAAGAGGATGACTAGCTCATTATCCACTAAATTAAATTAATTTCGTTACAATGACATCTCCTCTATACTTATGTGAACAACCAAATCCTATTGGTAGTTCAAAACACATTTCTGCACCTACCTGTATTCCAGCCAAAGCATTTCCATAAATATTATTGTGCTCAATCAAGCCTCTTCCCTCTCCGAATATGTACACGCCCCCTTGATGTCCATTGTAAATCTCATTTCGGCGTATCGTAGGGTTACTGTTAGAGGTAATCCAAACGCCAGCAAAATTATTTGAGTGTATTTTGTTATCTATAAACTGGCCTAAGCCAGATTCGTGGACGTATATGCCCCCCGTCTGGCCGTGGTGGATCTCGCAATGCACCACTGTGGGGTTAGCACCGGCTTTCACTTCGAAACCGGCGATTCTATTATTGTGGATGTCATTTGCTTCAAAATAGCCCTGTAAATAAGTTGTAATGACATTACTGAGAAACATATATTTTCGTCACTCTTATGTATAAAAATAAATGTTTGAGAAAGGTGTGCAGAATTATTCAGTTGTATGTAAACATTCATAAAATTACACATTGTTTGTACGGACTCTGTGTGCACATGTACTACACATTTTTGTTCGAAAATCGCCTCCAGTGCAATGGAACAAGATACGACAATGTGTAGCTTGATGTGCTGGCGTGTGTACATAAACTAACTCTAGAAGCCACTCATATAAAATGACGTTATAGAAATTTTATACATCTTAAACTGTGAACTAAAAAAATTAGCCTGACATTTATAGTGGAATGTCTTAATTTTTGAAAATCATCAATAAAAATAATAAGAACTATTATTGTATAGTACCATGACTGGGCACCGGCTTCCTCACAATGAGAGGGCTTGGGTTGTAGTACACACGCGCGGCGCGAATTGGAAACTTCACAGAGACCATCAAATTGCTTTGCAGATTTCATCACGACATTTTCCTTTATCAAAAAGCTAATGGTATAAATTTCAAATTAAATTTCGCACATAAATTCCGAAAAACTTTGCAGTTGAGATTCGAACCTGGGTCGTAGGTTCGAATCTCTGTTTGAGAGGCTGTTGGACAAAACATTAGGCTACCAAGGCTTTGTTTTAATTTTTTTCAAACTCATCAATGACTCCAGAAATGAAAACATAGCGAACGGGTCTGGCAATGAATAGGCTTAACAATCCACTGATCATAGTTTGACTTTCGAGAGAAATATTTAGACACAAGTCGATCATCTAACAATAAGAAATGTCATATATATATGTTAGTTACCATTTTACCTAACAACACGCACAGATGCTAACGCCAATACTCATATTATAAATGTAAGTTGGTAGCACCATAACTACCTAGCCTCAGTCGCACAGTTTGGGCGTCATCCAAATTTTTCTTTCTTCTTTCTTTCTTTCTTTCTAGAAATAGTACTCACCAATCCATTCTCAAAAGTGAATATCCCAACGTCCCGGCCGTGGTGTATATGGTTACGACGCATGATAGGGTTGGCAAAATTTTTCACCCAAATACCAGCTAGCGCATTACGTGATATCTCGTTATCCTGATACGCGCCCTGGGCGTAGTCCGTGACGTATAAACCCACGTTTTCGCAGTCACTGATGTCACAGTGCTTGATCACTGGATTTGCGCCCGCGCCGATTACGCACACGGCTGCTCCCACTGTATCGCAAACATGTTTATTGTTATTTTGGTATTCTGGTTTGATGGTTAAGAAGAATTGTACTTATTGTACATAGTACAGTTATGAACGCTGAATTGATTTTCGTTGTAACTGAAGGATTACCAATTAACGCTGAATAAAAATATTACTTGAAATATATCTATTTTTATAATTTTTTATTCACTACGAAAAAAAAAATGTTTGTACATTATGGAATCAAAGTCAGTGTCAAAATGATTTGAACATTGATGCCTCCGTGGCCGAACGGTTGCGAACTATGCTGATCTGCCACGCAGGTGCAGGCAGGTCACGGGTTCGATTTCCAGTTGGGCAGGCATATTTGCATGGTCTACATTTATTTCTCTCGTGAGTTGGGGTGTAAGTTGTGATTGTCTACGTGTGTGTCCATGGCACCCGAAATACAGGGTTTCCCTAGTGCAGGGTTATGAGTGTGCGAGTTATTTATTTATTTATTAATTGTATTTAAGTAAATATTTATAATCTTTTGTTCAAATATTTAATCATTACACGCTCATAACTTTGAAGCTGAGTTTACAACGGAACAGTAGAAGGGAAATTCTATGTTGGATCCATATTATTGTTTGTATAAGGTATTAATTACTATTTCATGTCCTGTTATTTGCGTACTTACCGACACTGCCACTGCGAATGATACAATGGTCAATAGTGGGCGAGCAATTATCATTGACTTCAAGGCAATAGTGCTTATGATGCTGCATTGTAGAGGTGGCATCTGGGAAGAACTTGAGCGTCATATGGCCGACGTACGCGCGGTTCGCTCCTTCCGCGAACGTCAATGTTGATTCCGATTCACGTTCCAAGACAACCGATTCCGCTACGTTGCCTGGGGCACAACCTAGAAGTAACAATAAGTGTGTTAGCGTGAAGTATATTTAACGAAAATGTGCAAATTATTATGGGAATTGGACTAACAATAAATGCACATTAATGGGTAGGTTTGTACAAAATATAGACAAAAGCAATGGCTCACCAAAAAGTATATATCGAATTATATGTAAAATACTAAGAACCTAGCAGGATAATATAAATAACACCATAAACAACTTCTTTTGTTTCAGGTCTTTTAATAATTCATTACATTATACTTTCGTACAGAAATTAAACCTTAAAATGATATAGTTTATTTTTTAAAGAAAATTACTCAACCATAGGGAAAACGCAACATCTGCTTATGGAAAAAAGAACAAAACACAAAATGAGGAATCATCTCCTACTAATTAACGTGGATGACCAGAGTTGTAAGAAACATTCGTCGTTGGTAATTTCAATTGCATTTATTTCGAAGCAAATTTTTTTGAGAAAATTTTCTTTTTCGAGTATAACGGCGAATCCAAATTAGTAATTGAACAATTTATATTTAAGGCTTTACTTTTGTTAGCTCCATACATAACCTTAAAAAACTACAATCCGCGATTATAGAGTGTAATGTATATCTGTTTTTACATTAATCCTTACCAATAAGTTGCACGTCACTATCAATAGCGAGGCACTCCTCTTGATAAAGACCAGCATGCACAAAAATAAGCGCGGGAGCAGCACGGCGGCACGAGCAGGAGCCGCTTGCGCAACCGCAAGTCGCGCCGCCGTTGCACGTCGTTGACGACGTGGAGCTGGCTGTTGACGTCGGGGATCCTGTGGTGCTGGGGGAGCTGCCGCCGCGTTCTTCCACATACTCGAGAGCCGCCTGCATCAGTGGTCAATGTCAGAATTGTTAAAAGTGTCCCAAGTAATACACGTCGGTGGTTTGTAGACAGGGCGAAAGCGCCATTTTGAAAATTATTTGAGCATGATTTAGTTTTTCACGACTGTTTTAAAAGAAATTGCTGTTATATTTTAGCAAATCCGCATTTGGTTCGTAAGACAAATTGCCTTAAGAAAAATGAGTAAACAATTCAGGGGTAATTGTTACAAAGCGCTTAATGCGTCATTATATGTAGACCTCGAAGGACTTACGCATTTTAAATGTTTCCTAAACTATATTCTGAAATATTAAAAGCCAATATTACTAACCCTAATAGTATTAAAATGCTTGATGCGAGAGTCTTTCTTGGGGCGGTAGTTGGGTCGTACGTGTATGCCGTAGTAAAGCTGCCGGAAACTTTCCTTCCAAGGGTTGTCCGCGTCGCATTCGTCTACAGGCACTAATTCAAACTGACAGGGTGCCGGATGCGTCAGTGGCATGTCGTATTCGAACACCGACTGATACAAACTTTTCCTGTTAAACAGAATAAGTAATTATAATAAAGTGATAGACAACCACACCAATTGCCAGATCTCACTGATGCAAGTGGAAGAAACAAAAAAGATATGTATGTCATAATAGTAGTAAGCGGAGGTTCGTAGTCTCTGCCCGCTCTAATCGACGAAGTACATATTGCACAAGAAATCAAACACTGTCGTAACTCAAATTGTAAATAAAATAAAAATATATAAATAAAAACCCTAGTAAATGCTGGGACTTTGTTGGTTAAAATGTCGTCACCCAATCCAATGGTGTTAGGCGTACCGTGCCTATGGATGAGGGAACCTTATGCCCTTCAGCCGGCGAGCGGGACTCTGCCGGTTGTGACCCCTTAGTTCCCTAGCCGCTCGTGAGACGTGTATGGAGAAAGAAAATGAAATAAGTGTTAGCACCTTAATTTCCTCCTTGGAGGAAACGATTGCTGGGATGGACAGTCCACCCGGATATAAAGACGTGACTTCGGTTACGGCTATGGATACGAACCAGGCGGGTCCTTCGGATCCCCTGGTGTCGGAATCCAGCGCTCAGCCGCGCATTCGACTGAGCGGGTCTCGCCGGAAGAGACTACAGGGCCTGATGACAACAGGTATGAGTTACGCAGAAGCTCTGCCTCTATCTGAAAAGCCCTGGAGTGAACTTCCGGTGCCTAAACCATCTCCAACACCGAAAGCGCAAAAGCGTGGATGGTCAGAGGTGTCGCCGCAGGAACACGTAAGGAAGGCTCCCAGGACCATGGCGTCAGCTGAAAGCAGGAACAGACCAACTTTCAGCGAAATGGCGGGCTCCCTGCGCGTGGGTATCCGGAATTCAGAACCCATGTCATAGGAACAAATGGAGGTTTGTGGAGCTGTTTCTGGCCCGCACCATCGCGAGCACAACAGCACATGGCGACGGACCAAGTTCCTGGACCTCTCTCACAAGCCAGTCTGGATTCTTGTGCCCTGCAAGGACCAAGTAAGTGCAGACTGGCTTGTGGGAAAGATCGGCAATTTGAAGCCGTGGCCGGAACCCCAGCTGTCCTTGATTAAGGAAAGCGAGCTTCCGAAGCCCACCACCGCCACCACTTACATTCCCAAGAAGGGATGTGAGTCGGTGCAGATGGCCATCTGCCTGCCCAAAATAGAGGTCTCCGCACTGAGGTATGGATGATTCTTCACGCACGGGAAGATGCGAACGGATGGGTAGTCGCGTTCACTCTTGATGACCCATCTGAAGAGAATCTCCGTGGCTCAAATTGCCAGACACACCTTGGTTTTAAACAGGTCACGTTTAAGATCAAGGGGTGTCCGGAAAGCACTTTCAGCGGCGGCACTGTGCGGGGTGCCTCGGTCTCGAAACCAGGGTCGGTTACTAGTCCGATCGAGGAATCGGGGCCGGGAACCTCAGCGCAGATGCCCGGGGCAGGGAACCTCAGCGCAGATGCCCTGGCCCGTCTTCCACGGGAAAACGTGATGGGGCTGCCCCGTCTGCGACTCTGGGTGCATCGCCCCAGAAGAATCGTGGACGGGAGGCGGGGCACACTCGGACAGCACCCGCTGTCCCGGGAGTCCAAACATCGCAGCCAACAACAAGTGCCAGTACTGGGGCGGCTCGGTAAAAAACTGTCACAGTAATGACACTAAATGACGGTCTGGGGGGTACACGACCGTGGTTTTCAGCACCAAACCCACATGGCCGAAGTATGGCACGTGGAGGAGTGCAAGGGCGCGGGGCTGCCAACCCGCGAGGCTCACGAGGATGGGCTCGTCCTCCTCGTAGCAGTCGGGGGCAGCAACGCGGCCAGGGTTTTAATTGCCGCTAGATGGCGCTAGAGGGTTCTCCAAGCAAACCTCCACCATGCCGTGGCTGTGGTTTAGTATTGCTTCGCGAAAGGCAATGTGGATGTCGCCCTCATTCAGGAACCACACAAACATAATGGGACTCAGTGCCGCTGGTAAGTTGATCTACAACACTTGTGGAAGTAGACCTAGAGCCTGCATTGTTTATAACAAAAACATTAACCTTATGCCTGTTCCGGAGTTCTGTACTGATGACTTTGTAGCATATTTATTTCCCTGGAATAGCCCTCAGGCCAAGATAATAATGCTCTACCTGAAGAAAAGAACAGCCCCACGAAAGATCTGACACGACTGGCGGAATACGCTCAGAAGCACAAAGCAGAACTTTTGGTGGGCTGTGATGCCAACGCTCACCACACCGCTTGGGGGAGCTCAGACATCAAAAACAGAGGTGAGTTACCTTATTAAATTGCCAGTATCTTCATAACGAAGGATGTACACCAACGTTTGTTACTAGGTCAAGATAAGAAATTCTGGACATTACGTTCTCTACGGCTAGACTAGTCGGACTTATAACCGGCTGGCATGTTAGTGATGAGACGTCAATGTCAGATCATCAAGATATAAGATTTGATCTGAGAGCAGGAGATGTCTGCCACCCCACTACATTTAGGGACGCGGCCTAAGACGTCTAGAGACAGACTAAGGCAGTAAGTATCTAACAGGCTGTCCTAAATCGATCAAAACCACTGAAAGTCTAGAGTTAGCTGTTGAGGTCACTACCAGGGGCATCATCAGCGATTTTAAGGAAAGCTGCTCACCAAAAATTCGGATCTCCAATAGGAAAGTTCCGTGGTGGAATGCCAAACTGAGAAAGCCAAGAGAGAAAACTCGAAGACTCTTCAATAGGGTCAAGCTGACAACGGAATGGGAAGGCCCTAACCAATTATAATAAGGAGATAAGGAAGGCTAAGCGAGCATCGTGGAGGCGGTTTTGTGAGGAGATCACTAGTGCTCCTCAAGGTGCACGTCTACACAGAGTGCTTGCCAAAGCCAACTCCGATCAACCAGGACTGTTAAAAAAGCCTGATGGGATCTACTAGACTTCCTCAACAGAAACCCTTGAGCTTGTAATGTCTTACTAAACCCAGTAATTACTATACATACGCCTCGCAACGAGGACTGGAACATTGCCGCCAACATTATTAGACCTCGAAAAGTGGCTTGGGCTATTAGTTTGTTTAAATCGTACAAATCCCCAGGTGAGGACAGTATTACTCCCATCTTACTGCAGCAGGGTATAAGTGTACTCTTGCCATACTTGGTCAAAATATATAGAGCCAGTCTTGCTTGGGGACACATACCAATACAATGGACAACATGCAAAGTTGTATTTATACCAAAGGTAAACAGAAAGGATTACTCTCTTGCAAAGTCCTTTAGACCCATCTGCCTAACCTCATTCTTGCTCAAAGCAATGGAGAAGGTACTTGACAATCACATTAGGGCTTCGTCCTTAATATATAGACCTATCCATCACACTCAATACGCCTATCAAAGTGGAAAATCCACAGAGACAGCTCTGCTCCACCTTGTGGACAGGGCTGAAAGAACGTTTGAGGACAAACAAATAGCACTATGTGCCTTTCTAGACATAGAGGGTGCTTTTGACAATACAATACTAGTACAACACTCGTACTCTGGTAAAGGGACTAATCTCCAAAGGTGTAAACACTTCTACTACGAGATGGGTGCAAAATATGCTCTTAAGCCGCAGAGCCAGTATCTCGTTACACTGGGACCGGCTTGTGGCTTCCACAGTAAGGGTTGCCCGCAAGGTGGAGTAATTTCTTCTCTCCTTTCGACTCTTGTGCTGTGGATCAGCTTCTGTATAGGTTGGCCGAACTGAACATTGACGGCCAGGGATGTGCAGATGACCTAGTGATCACAGTTCGAGGGCACTGCCAAAGCACTATATCATCACTTATGCAAGGAGCTCTTGACACCATTTCCGCGTGGTGTCAAGATAACAAATTATCTATTAATGCGGAAAAGGCAACTATTGTTCCTTTCACTAGGAAGTGGAAACTAGACAAGCTGTGTGTCCACAGTAACGACAGTCTTTATGTCCTCTGGCCACACTCAGAAGACATAAAGACTGTCGGAGCCAGGAAATTCCTTCAGTTCCTTAAGCTGTTGGTCTTGGCTCCAAGCTGTGATTAGTGGTGATCACAATAGATCATTTTGGTCGCAGTGATGAGGGGCCTCATAGGCCCCAAATGAAACCACCCTAATAATAATAATAATAATTACTCAAAATTGTCGAATTGAGAGAACATGATGAAAATATTTTCTCGAACTTTATGAACTCTTTCACAAAGAGCTCTAATATTTAGTAGTGCTCCTTGTGAAAAGCTCGTCCAGGGAAGTACTGCCACCTTAGCTATTTCTGCCGCCAAGTATTAATGTGAGCATTACTGTGTTCCGGTTCAGAAGGGCAAGGGTGCTGGTGAAATTATAGTAATAAAGGACTTGTCTCAGGGTGACAGGTGATGTGGCAAAGACCTTAAGATCTTTCTTCTGATCTTTGACGGCGTTGCAACTGCTTGTCGCTTACAACCAGGCGCACGACTTGTTCGTCCCGTCATTTGGTACAATAAAAAAAAAAATTCACAGTAAGAACCATTCAGAATTTTTTTGGATCTTTTATTTATATTTTCTCAATTCCACAAGTTTGAGTAACAACAGTGTTTGATTTCATGTGCGATATGTATGTAAACTAGAGAATTTCCTGTACTGTGATTTAGATAAATTCATTTTACAAATTGGTCCCACAGGGTATCGAACCCGGGGCCTCTTCAGCTAGCACCAACAGTACAAGCTGTTGGGTCAACGAGATCGTCAAATACTTCAGATATTAAGTTCAGAAAATTGTGAAGCAAATTAAAAAATGATGATTTGCGTTTCTATCATTTCTATGCGTTGTTTTTAACCTGCCCTTATCACTTATTCAATCCATAAAGTTTATTTTGAGGTAAAAAGTCAACAGTCACAGAGAAATGAGCATCTCGCAGAGATTGAAACTCAGTCCATTAAAAATTAAATAAAATTGCGTTCTTACCATAATTCAGTATCATTAGCGATAGTATTGAATCTCTTGCAGACTTGTGCGACGCGACAGAGATCGCGTTCAGTGAGGTGCGACAAGATGCAAAGGAGCACCTCATCAGGCAATTCATACTGAAGGTACTGTGACACGTTGCATACATCCACGCCTTGAGATAGAGATCTGCAGGAAATTGTATACTGTATGTGTAACTCGTACAGAAAGTTGCTTGGCAAATTAACTTTTACTTAACGGAAAGTGCCCAATTGTATTGCAATATTTATTTGTTCCTAATATTTTCTAGAGAGCAGAAGTGTGATTTTGTAAACATATTTATCTAACCTCTAATTTGACACATTGGCTGTCTAAATGAAAATGTTGTAATATGGAAGGGGATATTAAGAATCGATGAAGTTAGAAAGACCATTATAGACAACTATAGCAAGATACTGACGTGCGAGGCCGTTTTCTGGCTGGTAGGGAGCAAGTTCCAGAAGGACCAGGTTCATGGTAGGCGGGGGGAGATTTGCGGCGTAGGTCGTAGGGGCTGTGGTGGCCGGCGGTGGTGGCGGGAGCGGCCGTAGGCACGGGTGGGGAGCCGCCGCCGCCGCCGCTGCCGCTGGGCCCGGCGCACGCGGCCGTCGCCGCCATCGCACTCCCGGTTACGTTGTTTAGGCCAGGCACTGACTCACATGGTTCAGCTGAAATAATAACATTTAATCATTTAACATGTATTTATTTTTGTCAATTGGTTGGTAATAGTACCTCATGATAGGCGATGTTAAGAAGGATCAGAGGCCTGTAGTTGGAATGCCTATTATTTTACATGTTGTACAGGCTAGTTAACTTTAATGTACCTGTAACAACTGTGCTAGAGTAACAGCAACATCAATCTGTAATGTAGTCAATATCAACAAGTTCAAAACGCATCAACAAATTTTATTTGCATTAATATTATTATTGACCACCTCCATGACCCAACTGTTTGCTATGTGGGTGTTGGATGAGGAATCCTTAGGTCAATTCCCGATCCTGGTCTGGATGTTATGGGTGGTACCCTAGAGTGAATTTCATTGGTCTGGTGATCATAGTACAGAGAATCCTCTTGTTTGAGACCAGTTAGTTGGTGTGGTTATCTGGCATATAATTATTATTTATTGCAAAGGGTACAAAGACTAAACTACCTTCTGGATTGACACATTTGCCTTTATTTACAAATTATTTGTTATTAAGTACAGAAAACAGATAAGATGTGATAGTACATGATTGTTGTTGTTAGATGATAAAAGTTTTGCTGGTATCTAAAACTTGGTAGAACCAGAAATGTCTAAGCATTTCGTTTTCGATTGTGGAATTGCATATAAAAACAAACACTAATCAAAACAGATATTCAGTACAGTCAACTACATGTATAAATTTCTTTAACCATGTATGTATAAGTAGTATGAAGTACTATGATCTCATTGTATACTCCAGATTTATGTAAGTATTTTAGGTTGCAATTCAATATTGTGTTGTCTGGACATGAAATTGGCTATAGATCTGGCAAATTTTTTAGTGAAATAAACACGAACACTTTCATTGTTTTATGAGTGAAGTCTTAATCAAAGATTTGATATGTTGCCAAAAGGCATGACCTATTTAAGAGAAAATCTAGCACACTTGCACAAAATTAGACTTTATATTAGTATTTTTTTGTTATTTATTTTAATGGTATAAAGATGAATATTAATCGATTTAGAATATGCATCTCAATAATTACACTTACTGAAAATGAATCTGTAACAAGTATTGCCATAATTCAGTTCTGCAATAAGGCTATTCATTCAGTTTAACTATGTTAATAAAAAGCATTTCAATTTGTATATTTTGATTTTGTATCAAAATCGCATAGCCAACCCAAATTGTTTGAGGTATCAAATAAACCTGGGCTATTTACTGGTCCCGTGGTCATGGCAGACTACTGTTAAATTTTGTATTCTTGCAGAAAACAACACAACTACCTACCCTATTCCTATCAAGTACAACATAAAGTTACAAAAATATGAAATTCATCTATAATATGGAGTGCCAATGAAGAAACTAAACCTCTAAAGCAGATTGGGCTTACATTTTCAATACTCAATATATTTATTGCATTCATATGTTATACATGTCTTAAATTTAAAATAATGCTACACATATGAGCCATTTATTAGGGATAACAATAACAGCAGAGGTAGGCCGAGGTTTCAATTATTAAATAAAAATTGTTCTTTATCAAATAATAATATTAAAAAAAAAAATGTCATATAATAATAAAGAAATATGTCTTATTATGAGTAGAATTATGTCACTTGAAAGTTTGAATTTAATTAGATTACAGTAGCATAACTTATAGTATATAATTAATATTTATTTATTATTCAAATTTATTATCATATTATTTAAATTTTAAAACAATTTATTTCACAGGCTATCTTTATTTTAATATTAGGATAAATAAAATATTTTGTAAAAGGGAGTCAGCAGAGAAACGCCAAAAAATTAAACACAACAACACTATTCACAACATTAAACACAATATCAGTTTAAAAAAGTATAAATCGATTAAGAGAAGAAATAATTTTTATATTTCTTTTAAAATCATGCATAAAGTCCCCCATCCACTGAAATCAGAACAATGTGACAGAATATAGCGTCAATCATGTTCTAAAAACAAGGACCGTGTATAAGGGGTGATACAGATTCAAATTCATAAATGTTAATAAGTGATTTTTCTAAATATCAACACTTGTCATCAATACTAAGTGTAACTTAAAGCAATCTAAGTATAAACATAGCAGTGATATCAAAGTTCATTATCCTTACTTTGTAAACAACAAGACATCAAAGCTTTTCTCCTTTTTGTCTTATTTGAACATAATCTATTTATGAATAGTCATTTACTGATTTCCCTTTTTCTTTTTTCCCTAACTTACAAACAAAGAAAATTTCTAGACTGCACTGGATCGCCAAGTGACTTATTCTTACATATGTGTACAACTCACTGACATAAAACATGCAAATATTACTTTTAATGTGTCTAACACCTTATCAAAATGCCACATAGATAGAAGAACGACTTTAAATTATGTTTGCTGTGAATCTGAGTCAGAATAATTGTTACTCAAAATCAGCTGTTAATTAATACACAACAAAGCTATTTCCTAAAAATCACACAATTTTAAAAGTTTGTGAGTAGAAAACTAACCAAAACATCTACTGCTACTGTAAAAGTAGAAGAATAATGTCTATGGCAAGCCTAAAGATGGTATATTTTAATTCCTTAGCTTGAATAATCATTATTTTACATAATATGTCCAAGGAAAAGACTGAGTACAAGTGCTGAGATGTGCTACTTAGCATTCAAGTAAAAAAGGTGTAAGTTTGCGGCGGCGCATAATGCTACACGGGCATGTTTCAGAACAGCTGTTTTCTCACTTTGTATAAAATAAGTTTTCATCTGGCAAATCAATACCCATATTGCGCAAAATGTCACAGAAATGCGCTATTCAATATCTTTGTAGAACTTGGAATGTAATGAAACCCCAAGAATTTGCATGTCTATCGACAATACGATCTACGATGATCCACCAAATAATAAAATTATTGTAGTAAGTATTAATTCTCTATACACGCATGTTCGCAGCTAACCGCTACAATGTTACTATGGCTCATTGGTTTACACACAAATGTGTAGAACAAAAAAGATACATTGAAATTATAAGTGCAATTCAAACGTTGCACATTTATGGAAATGTCGATAGCGATTCGTAAAAGATTGGGGCGACATCGGCGACCCGGATTACTTACTCGATTGTGTCCTAGAAGGTAGGGGTATTCGATGTCCGCCTTTTCTTCGCGATCTACGGACGTAAGAACGCGAAGAGGAAAACGAGGCACTAGGCATTATTTCTTGTAGCACTTATTTTCACTAGAATTCAGGCCTAAACAAAGGAGACACCCGCACCAACACCGTCGGCCATTTTCTGTTTAGATTAGATTGGAGCAACGAAACGGGAAATAACGACTACAGCACATCAGTCAGTGATCGATAAAGAATTTAATGTTCTACAAATAAAACACTGATCACTGAATCTAAAATGGTAAGTGTTAACTGACGAAACGCATTATTTCAGGAAAACTACAATTATTTCACACCCCTCTCGCAAGCAATGGACGACTCTCCAGTAAATATGGCGGATGATGGCGGATTTCGGATCAACATGGCGGCGCGATGCCAGCGCCACCTCTAAAAACACTTTTGTTTCTTTTATTTTTATCAATGCGTTCAAATCAAACCAAATGCAAGGTACTTTTTTGTGTTGTTATTTTTTTTTATCTTTCTCGTGTTAAGGACTAATAGATAGTTGCAGACAAAACCATGTATGTTACTTGTGTCATAATAAAATTAATTTGTATTGAATTGGTCAATTTACGTAGATAGTACGTGGAACGTCCGAACGCCAGTCGACCCCACCCCACTTGCCAGCGTACCCGTACATATACATACATACCTACTCCGCCTCTGCGATATTAAAACTGGAATACAAAATTTTGTTGTTGAAACAGGTCAATGTGTTGTAACATTATATTTTTTATAACAAAATCTTACAGCAATCTGTACCAAAAGTTTGTTTTCAATAAAAAACCAAGCGCTCTGACCCTGAATTTAAAACTTTTAAGACGCGCGTCTTAAAAGCGTTTGCGTGACGCAAATGCCTTACGGTAATAAATTACATACACATACGGGAGTTTCCATTATGCGTTTAAAATATTAAAACACACCCTTGTATAGCTTCACTCGAAATGTCACGATGGATTTTGAAAAACTTTGATACATTCTCTCGCAATCCGTAAACAGGGTAAGAACACTTGTCAACTTATGTCTCAAGGTGACGGGTGCAGTGGCGGTGCCCCTCAGTGCCCCCTTTGCGATTTAAAATTTTGAGTGGCACTGCAACTATTATGGACAGGTAAGAGTGTCGCTTTCACCAAGCACACGACTTGCATAGACTAATATCACGACTTGTTCGTCCCGTCACTTGGTAGCTATCATAATTTTTTTTTTAAATAATCTATTTACTGTATGCACTTATGGTAGGGCTTAAAAAATTACACAACATGAGAATTATATTTTTGTAATTTTTCAAAAATTTCTACTGAAAAATGTCCACTATTTTAATTTTTTGGAAAATTACCCAACAGCCAACACTCGTACAGTCAAGAGCACGTTAAGTTTGACACTTTGTATAACTTTGAACTGTTCTTATCGCCGTATTAGACATTCGTTTGTACGGGTTTTGAAGCATCGTGTACGAATGAAATGAAAATGGACAATACCACCTTTTATCCAAAAGATGGTAGCATAATAATTATAAGCTACCATCTTTTGTCTCAATCATAATAATTTTTATTTAAAGACTAAAGAAAGAAAGATTCAGGGTCGTATTCTAGAACTCTGCTTAATGCTCAAGTCAGGACTTGAGTATGGTTTAAAGCACTTGATACCATACTCAAGTCCCTGCCATTAGTCGTATTTCCAGTGCTTGTGTTGCCAGTGCAATGCTGACTTGAGCATTGAATAGAGTTCTATAATACGACCCCTTCGGGTCGTATTCTAGAACACGGAACTGTACTCAATGCTCAAGTCAGGATTTGAGCAGACTTGAGTATGATTTCAAGCACTGGAAATACAACCGTAATGGCAAGGATTTGAGTATGATTTCTAGTGCTTTAAATCATACTCACATTCTGACTTGAGCAGACTTGAGTGTGATTTCAAGCACTGGAAATACGACCCTAATGGCAAGGACTGGAGTATGATTTTCAGTACTTTAAATCATACTCAAGTCCTGACTTGAGTTCTGGAATACGACCCTAAATCTTTCTTTGATTTATTTATTTGATTTCTTTATTCTCTAAATAAAAATGAGACCTAGGATGGTAGCATAATACTTAGAATAATAACGCTTAGAATAATAGTTTCATGTCAAACGAACTGTCACAAGTGAGGCAAAAATCAAATTCATGTAGGCTAGTTTAAGTAGTAGGTTCATTTTCGGTTTTAGTGAATATTTATATAAAACTACAAGTTGAAACGCGTTACTTCCTTGTGGAATGTGATGTTAGTATCTATTTTATGTTTGTCCGACGTATTTTTATACTCATTTACCGCATATTTCGTTATTTTTAGCTAAAATTCTTGAGCTGTTCGCGGTGCAAGTTGACTTTGAGCACTGAAGGCCCGCGCGCTCGTGTCAATTTGCCTCACTTAGCGTGTGCGGACTAGGTTTCTATGCGTTATTATTCTACAGCGTAATAGATTATATGCTACCATCTTTTGTTTTATTCATAACTATTTATATTTATAGAAATAAATTTCTTCCAAAGTTATATTAATTGAAATTACCTAAAAGATTTCAAGTTGTACATCATATTTTTTAAATTACTTCCTGTTTTTCATCCTGGTTATTTACATACTACATACATACCACGGATTTAGTGTACACATACATAGTCCATGGTACGTACTCCGTCTACGATACATACAATATGTTTGACAATTGAAATAATTTACGTAAAATGGAAAGGTTTTATTGGAGTCTGATGTTGTGTGGGTGTTTTGATTTGATTTTTCAATATTTTTCCTAAATTAAAAACAAAAAATCTATCAAAATGTCGCTAAAAAACTTTGTGGATAATAATTCCTGTGTTTTCTCTATATTTGCATGTATTTCACTGACTTTCTTTTATGTTGCGAGCCTGTATGTCTGGAGGTCAAAATTGAGCAGGTAAAATTTTCTTAGTATTACGTTTATAAATTTTATTCTGAATTGATTTTTAATACAGACACTATATAACTGCCCCACGGAATGAATGTAGGTTTGTAAAGCATATAATAAAAGTGAATTTTACGAAGCTACTTGCAATAAATATTCTTTTTTTCAGGGATCATCCTTCAACAATTAAAAGAAGATTCTTCAGTGTTTCATGCATGATGTTGTTAGCACCATTCTTCAGCCAGTATTTCTTTACGGAGACCACGCTCAGTAAAAGCGATATTTATGAACAAATGGGCTTAAGAACAGCTGGTTTTTTTGCAGCTTCTACTTTGCCCTTATTGTTAACGGCTGTTTTGTTTTTGGGTCCTTTGACAATGCAGTTTTTTTCCGGACTATGGAAGTTGTATTCAGGTATTTCCTTTTATTTCGTTATCAAAAATTCTCATTTATGAAACCTTAGTAAAGTCTGTCTTTTTTGAAGACAGAATAAAATGACAGTTCATTGCTCCTAAGTGTTGCCTACTTGCGAGTAGCCAGTGATTGCAGTTGATAAGTATTCTATTGACTAGTGACATTGACTTACAATTATATGGACGTCGGGTCCGCGCTAAAAAGTGTCCGCACTTGTAAGGCGCTAAAATCGTATACAGAGCGCCAAACTCCGCTTTAGTCTTCATTTGTTCGACTGACAGCGTGATACTGCGATGACATTACAATTTAAATTTCGAATAGGTTGACTTGGGACATTTTTTTCGTGGTTTTTGTATTAGACCCGTCGTCCATTTATTTGTAAGTCAATGACTAGTGAGTAAATATTTGTCACGCTTATGGAATAAATAACCAAACTTTATTTGAATCATCCTCAACCTGTTATTCATCCAATTACTGAGCACAAGTTCATTTAGTTGTCAATTTTTGTAAGTTCATACATATATGTACTGTATTTAGAACTATGTTTGTGAAAAATACAAAGAGGAGACATATTTTACAGTTTTTCATTTTAATTCAATGTAGATAATCAAATCCGGCTAGATTTCTAGTTAAAATGTATATGAATAAAAATTTGTGTCGGTGGTAGTAGGTCAACTGTCAAAATAGGAATATAGAAGGCAATAACACAATTAGTAAGTAATACTTAGAACTTTAATTAAATAATTCAGTCAATTTTATCAAAATTTTATCTTTCATAATCTATAGATAAAACTATCGACAAACTACATAACTGTTTAAAATTTCATGAACACTGGCAATCCCACAAATGTCATTTTACTCTGTCTTCAAAAAGACATTATAATAACAAAACAAATATTCTGGGTCGTATTCTAGAACTCTACTCAATGCTCAAGTCAGGACTTGAGTATGATTCAAAGCTCTAGAAATGATACTCAAGCCCTTGCCATTAGGGTCGTATTTCCAGTGCTTGAAATCATACTCAAATCTGCTCACCCTATGCGTCGTATTCCAGAACTCTACTCAATGCTCAAGTCAGGATTTGAGAACAATATGACCCTAATGGTAAGGGCTTGAGTATGATTTCTAGTGCTTTGAATCATACTCAAGTCCTGACTTGAGCATTGAGTGCAGTTCTAGAATACAACCCATAGTTTCACATCCCTCATGGAAGAGTGGCATAAATCGAATTTTGTTGTGTTTTTTTTCTCTAATGGATTGTTAACTTTCTCTGATTTGTGTAAATGATATTTACGGACATACAGCAAAAAAAATACTTATCATTTTTGAATGTGATAAAAAAAACTGGCAAATGTCAGTGTGTGATGTTACTATTACAATTTACCCGCTAACCTAACCTTATTACTATTATTATTAGTAGGGTGACCTTATTTGGGACCTATGCAGCCCCTCATCACTGTGACCATTAACCGATCTATTGTGATCACCACTAATTACAGTTCGGAGCCAAGGCCAACATTAAAGAATTGAAAGACTTTCCTGGCTCTGACAGCTTCTATGTCCTCTGGGTTTGGTGTGTGCGTTCCCAGAATGGAACTTCGAATGCCCGAAGTAACCTAATCTTACCAGTAGTTCTGATATAGTTTTGGAATAATATAAATTTGTTAGAAAATATTCGAAAATGTTTAAACGTGTTTGTGTTGCAGCCAAAGCAATGTTTATAAATAATAAAATAAAAAGCAGCGCCAATGTAGTAAAAATGACTTGGAATATTATAAACAGTGAAACTGGAAGGGTCAAACCTCGTAACTTAGATTTTCAACTAAGATTTAATGACAAAATTGTAAACACAGACGCAGAAGTTGCTAAAATATTTGAAAATTTTTTTACTGACATTCCAATTTTGACTACTAAGTCGTTAAATTCATCTCCCACCGCCGCTGAATCCTTACTAAAAGAAAATAATGCAGTTAGTATCACTAATTTAAGGTTCCGTCATGTATTTCCAAACGATATTGTTAAAGCCTTTAAGTCTATAAACATAAAAAATACTGCTGATCTTGATGGTCTTTCAGTCAGAGTAATTAGTTCTATAGTTGATTGTATTGCGCCTTATTTAGCCTGTGTCTTTAATAAATGTGTTGATGATGGTGTCTTTCCTGACCTCATGAAGCAAAATAAAGTTATTCCACTTTTCAAATCTGGTAGTATTTCTGACCCCACCAATTTCATCAATATCAATACTACCAACTCTCAGTAAAATATTTGAAAAAATTATTCTAAATCAGATGTGTGCACATTTTTATAGTAATAACTTAATGTCTCCTAAACAATTTGGTTTCACTCGGGGTCGCTCTACAACCGATGCTGGTGTCGAGTTGATTAATCATATATTTGATGCATGGGAAGTCTCATACGACGCTATTGGTGTATTCTGTGACCTTTCCAAAGCTTTTGATTGTGTGCACCATGACACACTGGTCAGGAAACTTCGCCATTATGGTCTGGCGGGACGTGATCTAGACCTTCTAAAATCGTATTTGCGTGGTAGGGTACAGAGGGTCGATGTTAACGGTACGAGATCGTCAGGATCTGCAATTAGCATGGGTGTCCCTCAAGGTTCAATTCTAGGCCCATTTTTATTTTTAGTTTATATTAATGACTTACCTAGCCTTATGGAGGGTATAAAACATGAGAAAGTATTGTTTGCTGATGATACTTCCTTATTATTTAAAGTTAAAAGGCACCAATGTTCCTACGACGATGTGAACAATGCTATATCTAAAGTAATTGATTGGTTTGCTGTTAATAACCTACTTCTTAATGAGAAAAAAACAAATTGTGTGAAATTTACATTACCCAATGTTAGAGAGACGGTTACAAACATTGTAGTTAGAAACGAAAAATTGAATCTTGTGGATACAGTTGTATTTCTAGGTATAACGTTAGATGCTAAATTGCAATGGGGTCCCCATATAAGTAAGTTATCAAAACGGCTCGGCTCTGCAGTGTACGCGATTAAAAAAATAAGGAAACTTTCAGACGTCGAAACCGCTAGATTGGTTTACTTCAGTTACTTTCACAGTCTAATGACATACGGCATTTTGCTTTGGGGTAATGCCGCCGATATCAATAGAATCTTTGTCCTGCAGAAACGTGCAGTTAGGGCAATTTATAATCTGGGCCCCAAAGTATCTTTGAGAGATAAGTTTAAGGAAATTAACATTCTTACACTAGCCTCACAGTACATTTATGAAAATGTAATTTATGTTAAAAGGAATTGTAATTTATTTATGAAAAATAGTGACAGACATAACATTAATACGAGGAATAGAAATAAACTAGCGTTTCTTGATAGTCGTCTTCACAAAGTCAAAAAATCATTTAAGGGGCAATGTATACGCTTCTATAACAAGATTCCAGTTGATATACAAAATTTGCCTTTCACGAGGCTTAAAACTATAGTGAAACAAAAACTTTATACTAAAGGTTATTATACAACTTCTGGGTACTTGGATGACAAAAATCCGTGGTAGTAACCCGTTTAGCTCATGGAGGTAGTCTCGATCTCTGATGTTTCAAATAAAAAAAAAATATTGTAAATGTTATTTACAAAGAGCAACCCCTAGAGTTTCTTGCTCATTCTTCTCAGGGGAATCTGCCTTACGAATGAGCGGTAGAGTTAAACTACTGTGACGATTTCAAGTGTAATAATGTTTACCTATGAAATAAAGATTATTTTGAATTTGAATTTGAATATGTTATAGAATAAATCATAACACAAGATAAGTCTTGTCCCTACATGAAAACAATTTTTAAAACAAAAAAAGGTCTAAGTGAAATAGCTTTGTTAATGTTTTTAAGTATGATGAAAAACAAATTTTAATGTCAATCAGAAACAGTAAGCAACAATGAAATAGGTATTTAAATTTTATTCATAAAATAAAGGTGTAACCTGATCTTTTTGTAATTTGCTATAATTTAGAAAATGTGTAATTGTAATGTAATAAATTTGTCATATAGAGGATGTTTTTGGTTACATTTCAAACTCTATTACATTGACGTATTGCTTTTAATCACGCAGAAGAATCAATTTTAAGACACAATCACACAGACACAAACACACACCCACATAAACACTCACATTTCACATTTATAATTTTAGTTCAAATGTTTCTGCATCTATAACTCGACTTACTCATGTTTTGTATTTGAATTAACTTTAATAATAATTAGTAATTATGCTTTTAGTTATTTGCCCAATTTTATTAAATTGTAACACTTTTTGTTACGCCTGGCTCCTGGGTAATTTATACGTTCTGAATAACTGTCCTTAGCCTAACTGTGGATGTGTGTGTGGTGTGTTGACCTTTATAGTAATCATATATAGTAAATATGGATATTTTAAGTTGAATTAATAAAATTTGGCCATCATGAAAAGTAATAAAAAAGTTAGGCTTGCCTTCCAATTTCAGCTCTTCTGTTTTTCACATATCTTTTACCTATAGTTTAGAGCTTGGTACAGTCAGTTACTGGAAGGTCATGTTTTGTTCTTGGCAGTGACAGTGTGGAACAAGTAACAAAAATAATGAGAAAGGACATATTTTTAACTATGCAATTCTTTACAGAACCAGTATACTGGGTTTCAAGTTGGCAGGATCTTGTATGGGTCCGAAACCACGTGATGGCTCCATTGAGCGAGGAATGGGTATTCAGAGCTTGTATGATGCCTCTTCTCTTGCAGTGCTTGGAACCTATGACTGCCGTTTTTGTTGGACCTTTGCTGTTTGGTATTGGTAAGATAAAATTTTAAATTGAATTTATGGTTTCTGAAAGTGTTTGTTCATTATAATACAAAGACTTTCGACGACCTCCAGCCACTCGACCGAGTGGCTTGAACACCAGTTCCAGGCCGGGTCAATGTAGAAGAACTTTACTACTACTTAGTTACTTACTTTGGGATCAGAGCAACCTGTGTGATGTTGTTTAACATTTATGTATTTATTAAAGACTTTAGTAAACAAGAACAAAATACTAACTAAAAACAAAGTGCAGTGGCATTACAACAGGAGGTCTTATTATGTTATTTGGGTAAATTACAATTAGTTATTTTTGGGAACCACTGTATGTGAGAGCTGTAATTATACTATATAGTATAAATGTTATGCAAATATTGATTTAAATGGTAAAAATTTAAAAGCATTCAGCTCCTTAATAAAAAAATGTTAATTTTTAATTGATTAATTATGTTTAGTACAATGATTAAAAAGTCATGGATAACTTTATATAATTCAATTTTATAGTTGTTGGACATGACTTGATTGTAAATCAGTGTGATATATAATTTTCAGGTGTCCAAGAGTCGTATTCCAGAATCCTACTCAATGCTCAGCTCAGGACTTGAGTATGCCGTCAAACACTGGAAATACGACCCTAATGGCAAGGACTTGAGTATGATTTCCAGTGCTTCAAATCATACTCAAGTCATGACTTGAGCACTGAGTAGAGTTCTGGAATACGACCATAAGTTTAAACATCAAAACATTGTTTAAATCAGCCTTTGTACATATTTTCAACGTTTTTTACACTTTATTTTAACGGCGATTTAGGTACTGTTACTGTTTGCTAGATAAAGAAATCACATAAAAATAACTAACTAACTAAATAACTCTTAATTAATATGGAGTATGAATAAGATGTAGATAGAAACTTAATTCGTTTTCATGGTACAAAAATGTTGTATTGAAATATAGTACATAATTACAAAGACGCCGAAGAACTCTGGTTTATTAAACTAAATTACTTTTGTTTCAGCTCACTTCCATCATATTTTTGAGCAAATGAAAGCTGGAGTCGAATTTAAGACTGCCCTAATGATCTCAAGTAAGTATAGTTATAGTTTGGATGAAAAATTCAATATCTGGTAAATATTGTCGCCCATGGACTGTTCACGCTAGGAATGGGCGTTAGAAATCGTATATAGTTATTGAAACTATATATTGTGGCAATATCGAAAATCCAATATCATATATCTTACAAACTATATATCGGTATTACTCCGCATCGCGTATTTTATAGCGATGCCGAATCAAGCCGAGCGATTACCGATCCACTCGGTCACCAACCACCAACACGAAATCATATATTTTCCAAACTATATACCAATATTGTTTCGTATCAAATTTTCACTAAGTGGATATCAACGCGAAACCCTTTTTTGTGCGTCTTCGAAACTGTATACTAACATTGGCCCGCATTACTCTTGTACAACTATATCCAATAATATATAGTTTCGAAATCTGATTTCGCATATCAGTAACGGCAAAGTATCAACGCAGCGCGCACGCGGGCTGTATCCATGAATATATAGTTTCAGAAAATATATAGGTTCGAAATACGATTTTGAATATTGATATATAGTTTCGATACGATATTCAGATATGTCATCCATTATACTTATATATTATCCATTCCTAGTTCACGCTATCGTGAGTTCGGTAACAAATGTTGCCAATTACTGTTTAGTACGTCAAAGAGTAAATTATATTTTTTTATTATCTGTATGACATAACAGGTCAATTATTTTTTTTATTGTACTTACATATTTGACCTCTTTTACAATAATAAGTATAGTTATTTTTGTGAAAAATTAATGAGTTTTTACTTTTCAGCATTCCAGTTTACTTACACTAGTATATTTGGTGCATATTCTGCGTATTTATTCGTAAGAACAGGTAAGCGTTTTTTATATGAAAAAGCACTTTTTTAATTGACTTTTATGTGTAGCCATGTGTGAACAATTCTTAGTTAATTGAGTTGGAAATAGGAAGTATAGCTTCTAACAAGTATGGCGTACAAGGCCAATATACTATATTATAGAACACTATTTATGCGCCAAGGTACTATATTATAGAACACTATTTCAAAAACACCTTTTCAGGTCACTTTGTGGCACCATTGACAGCACATATGTTCTGCAACCATATGGGATTCCCAAACTTTGGTGAGGTGAGCAGTTACCTTCCTCTGCAAAGGATAGTCATTATATTCAATTTCTTATTAGGGTTCGGTCTTTGGTGTACACTGCTAACACCCTTAACGAGCCCGGACATTTACGATAATAGATTACACTGGGAAACGTGAATTAAATAAAAATACTAAGTGTCAAAACTATCAGAGTAATATTAAATTTGACTCAAAAAGCAACCTTAATTACTAAGTTATTTGATCAAGTATTCACACTTAATACGACTTAAGATCAAACCTACCGTTTAAGGCTCACTTTGTACTGTTGCGACAGGCAGCAGTGGCAGAACGGCGTCTTACTACTCAGCGCCATACTACTAACCACCTATAAATACCTACCTATAATAGTAATACTGTCGTAGAATGGCAGATGCAACCAGAATACAATAATTTAATAGTAAATGGTAGTGTGGCGTTGCAGTGCCGCAGTCATCTATCCCAATTATTTAATTTAATAAGGTCTACATATATTTTTCTAGTTTGTGCCATTTAGCATGCCAGTAAGGGTCATTAACCCTACTTTCATTCCTTAATCACAATTCGACGGCGACCTATCGCCAATTGTTATAAATCTATCGCAATTTTTACACCGTTCAAATAATATAAAAAGCCTTAACTTAACCTTAACTTAAAAACGTATGAAAATAAGGCATATCACTCTGTGAATTTGAGTGTTGTTAATATCAGTATTATTTTTATAATTTACTACATTAAATTATTATTGTATAATGAAAATAAACAACATGAGTTACGTTACAGTAATATACTAGTTCACATTAAAACTAATATTTAAAACTCGGTGCATTTCGGTGCTAGAGATGTATATATAATAATTATTATTATTTAAAAAAATCAATTATTTATTAAAAATAATTTAATATAAATCCAATAAAAATTTAAATACAATGAATAGTGATATCTCTAGCCGGAACTGGTAGCTGTAAAGGTATCTAACTGGGTGACGAAATATCTTGGATTTCTCATAGATGGCGCTACGACTAAAAGTCGTTGAAAAAATCAAATACAAAGATACGACGCAAGCACATAGAAAAATTCGTGAGGTCCGCTGTTTCGTTCCGTGGCTTAGTTGGTATAGCATCTGGCACGGTATGCTAGAAGACGTCGGTTCGAATCCGGCCGGATCGAAGGAATTTTTCTGAGTGCTCGATCTTTGTATTAATAATTATAACAAAATATTTGGTTAATATGTTTCATTACTATCAAATAATTTAAAAGTTTACTACACTCGAGGTCAGCTATATACGTCAAGGTTACTTCTACTATCACGATACATGGGAGAGTATCGTTTTCACAAATAACGTTTACAGTGGTAGGAAGAGGTGAATGATCGCTATTGACATGCTAAATGGCGTTTCGTATAACCAAAAAAACCTAATTTCGACCAACTCGACTATAAGTCTAAGAATTAACGATTTAACCATTGACTTACAAATAAATGGACGACGGGTCTAATACAAAAGTCACGAAAAAAATGTCCCAAGTCAACCTATTTAAACGTAGTGACATGGAAAGGAATATGAAAAAGCTAAAACGTTGAATTAAAATTGTAACGTCATCGCAGTACTGTCTAATTTTGCTTGCTTCGCTGTCAGTCGAACAAACGAAGACTAAAGCGTGAATGACGACGCTCTGTATACGATTTTAACGCCCTATAAGTTCGGACACTTTTTAGCGGGGACCCGACGTCCATATAATTGTAAGTCAATGCATTTAACACCAATTTTTTAATATTAACGTCCAAAGTAATGTAATCATTATGCACATACATAATGATGTTTGTATAATATTTGACTGTATCAATTACGTAAATAATGTTTTTAAGAAATTTTGATAGGGTTCAAACACTATTAATTTTTTTTTTTTAAATTTGCACTATTTCGAAAAATTTGTAGTAGTAGGTGTTATACTCTGTAAGTGCTTATGTCCACATGATCGATAAGCCCAACCAAACAAATTGAAAGCCGTTTCTGAAACCTGTTCTAAAGATTGTACTTTTGATGTTTAGAATGGGTTCTACAATGAACAGGATTTGATATTTCATGTCGAACGTTAGGAATCCAAGGTGTGAAATTATTTTGCCGATCGTCTTTGTAGGCCTTTCTTCAGGTCACACAGTGTGTTAAAAAGGTCTTATTTCGGACCGAAAACCAATTACAAAAAAATGACATAATATAATTCAAAAGATACCTTGTTAGATTCAGTTATAAATAATTTTCAAATTTTCGTTATCCTTTTTTTTTCTTGAAAATTCCGCCGTATTTGGATATTTACTTCATTATTGAGACCTCATATTCTTCACTACCTCACAAAAAACTTCTATGGAGTGACCAGATTCAGTAACCGATTTTAATGGCAAATAGATGTAATTCCAACTTTTTAGGTCGGTTTTTTTAAATAAAAATGTTATAATTATGATAATCATGTATAAACTCTTATTGTAGAGAATACCATAGACTTTTTAGATGTAATTAAAGGTTGGTGTCTCGGAATTATAACGAACTATTTTATAATATACACAGACATTAGAGTTTAAAGTACGAGCCATATTGCAAATTATACCGTTAAGAGAACAAGTCTGCAGGCAAGGAATTCCTCTCCATAACCTTCCGTCAATAACGCTTCCACATCTGAATACTGCTACAACAACTGCCTCCGTGGCCGAACGTTTACCATGTTGGACTACCACGCAGAGGTCCCAAGTTCGATTCCCGGACCGGGAGAAATGTTTGTATGGCCTACATTTATTTCTCTCGTGAGTTTGGGTGTAATTTGTGGTTGTTTATGTGTGTGTCCATGGCACTCGCGATACAGGGTTTCCCTAGTGCGGGTCTATGAGCGTGTGCGCGTTATTATTATACATATATCCACAACATAGGAGGGGAAGCCTCTTCATAGTAAGGTGGCAAGAATCGTCCTTTAAGTTCGTCTCGCATATCTCTGTCCGTTTTTACCTTCTAAGATGTGTTGTTATATGATATTTGTCATCGTTTCCTCAGCTTGCTGTAAATAGTTTCATAGTATTTGTGCTACATAGTGCGGTTTGACTTAATTAACTTGTAAATATGTCGTCTTATAAAGTTGAAATCGTAACAGGGTTTATAGAAACCCATATGTAGTTATGGGGTGTAGTGAAGTGACGTAATATCTCAGCTAGTCAATTGTTTTTATTTATTATTTTTTGTCACAGAACAAATTGATTTGACTGTGAATGTAAGTAAAGTTTTAAAGGCGCCATAGAATAAAAATACTCCACTATTTTTACGACTTTAATAACGAATAAAGATAAATTTTCTAAATTCAAAGTACAATTATGGTAATCGTGTATTTTTGACAGTATTGACTTTATTACTTTACTATTTATTTGTGATATTATAAAAAACTGGAAAACGCTCTTGCAAGTCACATTGTCCTCAATAGGTGTAAGTTTTAAGTCAACGATATCATTGAACATTGGATTATGAGTGAAATAAGAACAGTTACATATTAAGTTAAATGTATGGTTGTGTGAGTTGACAAATGTTACTGTATACTTTGTAGTTGCTTAGATGTTGTACTTTTAACGAAACAATAACAAAATTAAAGTGTTTTGAAAACTTATTTCTTTGACGTTTTATTTATTATAATAATGAAAATGACTATCAGATAAGTTTGCCAAATTACCTATTTTTATTTTAAGGTAAATTACCTATTTTTGTAAGCAATTTTATTGGATAAAGCAAAACATAGACACACTAACAACATAGAGCAGTAATGGAAGTATACTTATTATACTTCAGAATAAACGCGCAACAGACGCGCCATTTATTCCAGGCAACTTTAGCACAGACCAATAAATATCTTCTATTCTAGACGTAATTAATAATAGGGGTTAAAGTATGAAATTGCCGATTTGTACTGAA